AGAACTTCCCTGCAAGCTTCTTGGGGGTAGTAGCGTGGATTCGTGCCTGGTGGAGGGCATGGAACAGTCCGCGAATACAGAGGGTGGTTTCAATGTGAATAAGTGGAGGATAAAAGGAGGAAAAGTGTGGTAAAGCAGAGAAAAGCACCAGCCTAGACCCAAAGGAGACATGGGTTTGATTTCTCACCCTCTTACTGAGTGTATGTCATCAAACAAGCGATTTCCCCTCTGGGGGCGTTCAGAGGTCACAGCAGTCCTGCCACTCAGGATTTTGGATAAAGTATAAAATTCAGGTAAAGCATGTAGCATAGTGCAGGGCATGTACTATGTGCTCGATGATGATGATGGCGATGGTGATCTTGGTATTGGTGGTAGTGTTGATGATGTGGTGATAATGGTAGTGATGATAGTATTGACAATGGTTATGATGATACTAACTTTTCAGGATGGAAAAGCTAAAGTGAGTGTCTAATTCATCCACATGAAAAAGTCAGACCTACACCCCAGATGAAGAAATCATAGCGTTCCAGAAGCTAGTGATTTTTGGACAGGGGGATTAGTCTGATCTGCTTAGCCATATGCCTGTTATCCTTCCAAATCTTCCAAGCTAGGCACATCTGTCAACTCTTCCAGGAAGCCTTCTAGAACCTTCTGGGCTGGTTCAATGTTTAAAGTCATTGACTACCCCGATGGCTCTCTCGATAAAGCTCAAATTCCCTGCTTGGCCTATATCAGTCTTGCCCATCCCTCTAGGCTCATGTCTTGCCCATTCCCTGCTTGCCCTGTGCTCCTACCACAGGCAAGGAACCATACTTCCCTTCGTGCTCTGTCCTATGTCTGGGTTTTTGCACAGACCATGCCCTTGGCCAGAAGCCCCCTTCTCTCTCATCCTTGTGTCTGGTCATCGCCCTACTTTTCTGACCTGGGGAAGACCTCCTGCACCTTTTCTGTCTGCTCTGGTGTTGCCCTCTCTGGAAGTTTACTGATTCCCCTCACCTGCGGTGTCTCCATGAGCAGGGACAATACTCTCAGTGCCCACCACAAGTCCACAAGACGTGAGCTCAGTATGGCTGAGCCCCAGTCCGTCTTGCTCATGGCCTAGCCCAGTGTTATCACACAACATCAGAACCTGGGGTTCATCAGGAATCAAATCAAATGCATGCTCTTGCCCTCCTGGAGTTTTCATTCTAGCAGCAAGAAGGGCAGGAGTTACCATATAATCAATAATGCATACGTTTTGTAGTACATACCAACGTGCTAAGTGTCACGGAAGGAAAAAGGCGTGGAAGCCAAGGCAATTGGGTGTGGGAGTGCCAGGGGGATAAAAGGTGGGTGGCCAGGGCGGGGCTCCTTGAGAATGTGGCACTCAGGCAAAAAGACCTGCAGGAGGTGTGGGGCAGTCATGAGGGGGAATGGAGAAGGTTCTCAGCCAAAGGACAACCATGCAGGAGGACATGTAGAGTATACTGAGACATGAATCTAATCCAAATGTCAAGAAATAAAAAGTTCGGGTGAACCAGCCTGCCCAAGGGCACAGAGCTAAGTGGCAGCCTGGGACTGCACCCCCCTTCCCAGGCATCTTCTAGAGTCAGTCTCCCAGTTGCCTGGAACATGACCAGGATGGTGGTCCCAGGCCACCACACCTTAGGCAGCCTGGGTGTGCTGATGTATGAAGGTGATTTCCCCTCCTCTGTTACGACTCCACGTGTGCTTAGAAAGACTGCAATTATGAAGGAATGCTTGTTGCTGTTGTTATGAGGGGAAACTGCTGAAGCAACCGCTCTGGAAATCTGCTCTGTATTGGAGACTTTAGGCTCCACCAGGAAAATAATACACTGACACGCTGGGAAGCTGAATCCCGCCCCTTCCTGTCTGCCTCGTGCTGCAGACAGGTGTCTGGGTGAGAAACTGGTCACCCCTGTCAGACCGAGTTTCCTGCACTGTCTTGCTCTTGTCTGTCAGCCGGGCCCAGGTCACACAAGGCAGATGTGGGAAACAGCTGGTGTCTGCAGAGACAAACAAGGGAGGAAGGATGGAGGGAGCAGACAGACATCCTTCTGGGCCAAGTGACTGGGAGGCCCCAGCCCTGGGGACCGGGGAGAGGGTTAGGTGGAGAGTTGGCGAGAAGGAAGTCTGGGAGAAGGTGCTAAGCGCTGAACCCTGAGCCCGAAGTTCATACCCTGGACTCAGTCCAGGAGGACTGAGAAGCGAGAAGCCCACCCACCAGGGAAGGGCAAGTGCAAGCCCAGAGCAGCGAGAGGTCCAGACCGGGTGCAGAGGCAGGGCTGTGTGGTGAGGAGTCACTGGGGTTGCATCTCAGCTCTACCACTTCCTGGCTGCATGGCCTAACCTCCTAAGCCTGAGCTGCATTATCTGTAAAACGAGGACACAAAGGCAACACCTACAACAGGCTACTGTGCCGACGAAATGAATTGACACATGTGAAAGCAGTTATCGCCATGCTTGGCAAATAGCAAGCTTTCGACAAATAGCAGCTACATTATTTGTTTGTAGTCGGGAAAGGCGAAATCCTAATAAGTTCTGTCACCTCGTACAGATGATCCCTCCGCTCTGAGCCTCAGCTGTCTACATGGTTGAGTGGTCCTGGGGTCTAAGGATGGTATTATGCACAGAGATTCCAATCCATGGCCAAGACATACGTGTACTCAATTAATGGCACTGCTGTACTTGGAAAGGTGCAGGAAGCAAGTCTGCCCACTCAACGAGTTTCTGAGTGCCAGTCTGGGTGCTCATAGTGCCAGTCTGAGTGCCAGTCTGCGTGCCCTGATATGTGTCCAGGGCAAGAGTTCAGGTGGGACCACCAGGTAAGGGTAGGGAGGGGAGGAGAGGAAGGAATCTGGCCCCTCTCCTGCTCTCGGAGGCTTCCTGCTGTGGAAACTGGAGACAGAAAGCAGGAAGTTTTTCCACTCGGGGAAACTCCTGTCTGGGGCGTCAGGGATGATTGGCAAGGCTGGGAGCCTCCGCTACTCCCCACCCGGTCTTTGCTGCTGGGAAAAGCGGCTTCCATCTTGCCAAGGGGAGGGGTCCCACACCCCAGGTTCCTTGGCAGTCTGGGTTGACAGTGAACTGTCTGCAACTGGAATGGAGAAGGTCATGCCCGGGTGCTCTGAGGACACGGCCCTATCCCCACCTGCTTTCCTCTTTGGAGACTCAGCCCATGCGGGAGAAAGCTGGGCTTGTGAGTCAGACAGAACTGGGTTGGAATGGGAGCCTCGGTGCTCATGGCCAAGTGAACTCAAGCGAGTCCCGCAGGTACTCAGAGCCAAAACTGGCTCACCTGTGCGACGGGGCGAATAGCACCCTGCCGGGCTGAAATGAGGGTTAAAGAAGGTGACGGGGGACAAGTGTCTGACCGTGTCTGGCATATTCGGCAGCTCACTTAGGGGTATTTTATCTTCTTATATATTTTCTCCACCTCTCATCTCTAGAAGCCAGTTTATTGCAGGGAGTAGATGAGTGTTTACAAGAGAAAGTAGAAAGTTTTCAAGAAGTTGGAGTTTATGTAGAAGTCAAACTGAGAGAGGATGAATGACTTTAATTCGGGACCCCTTTCTTCTCCAGAAGAAACACCTCCAGGAATCTCGCATCTGAAGAAAGGCCAGTCTCTTTCTAACAGCTGATCACTAAGGTTAAGCCGTGTGCACAGTAAGAGAGGCCTCTAGGCTCCAATCCACAGGCCACACACAGTTCTCACAGCCTGCTCCAACCTGTGCACCTTCACCCGGACACTCCCAGTCCAGGTCTCAACACAAACATCACCTCCTCAGGGAGATGCTGACGGGCACACTGTTCTCCGTGAGATCCCGTACCTCTCCTTCACTGCCTCTCCCACCAGGTGATTAAATGCCTGTCGTGTTCCTCAGTGCCTCATGTCTCCTGACCTTCACAGGCCGTGAGCTTCGCAAGGGAGGCGTGCGCAGGGCCCGGGCCATGCTGGTTCCCAGGTGCACAGTGAAATTGCATCTCCCTGCAGGAAGGAAGCCTGGCCACCTGCATTCTGGAGCCTTGGCTAACAGGAAGGACAGTTTAAAGTGGGAGAAGGGAGCCTTTTTAACACACCAAAAGCCAAAATTAATGTATAACATGGGTGGGAAAGGAAGAAAGAGTGAGTAGATCAAATGACATCTAAGATCAGGTGATTTTTCAGCTCAGATTGTAGATGAGTATAAAACAGAGATCGTTTCCCATTGTCTCAATGATCACAAGAATAATTCTCAACTCAGTGGCCCAGGTCGACCACTGTTCTCCCAGCTCTTGGCTGGGCCCAAACTCTAGTCCCAGCGCTGGCCAGGAGGAAGGTGTGCATGGCCACCCTCTGTGAGTGATTGATACGTACTTCAGCCCAATGTTTCAGTTTTACTATAAACACTTGAATCACTCCTGGTGCACAAAGGAAGAGAATCACAACCAAGACTCATTGTACAGGTGTGAACAGCAAGAGAGGTTATGATGCTCGACGGCCATGACGGACCTTGTTGGAAATGTCCCCCCTTCTCTCTTCCCCTCGACCTCAGCCATCACCCCAGAAGGGCATGTTCTCTGCAGGACTTTTCATGGCAGTCTCTGTCTCTGACGCCATTTCCCTGGTCACCACCCCCACTCCTTCCCCTCAATCCTCAAAATGCAGCATCAATGTGAGCCTCCTGCAGAGCCGTCTCCACCTCTAGCCTGAGCCTCCACAGTACCCTGTCCTTCCCTTTAAAAGTATGTATTACACTTTCACTTGTCAAAGCTATCAGGGTAAGGGACCACATCTGCAAAAATCATCCATGAGCCTCCAAACCTCGCTCAGGGTCCAAGCACATGACATTAGCTCCACTACTGGCTAAAAGGATAAAAAGCACAAGACGATATGATACAATACAGTACAAGACAGCCTGTAGGCAAGCGCTGGCACAACCAGAACAATGGATTGTCCAACAGGTAGGGGTCATCCTGGCCCAGTAAGCTGGGCTGCTGGGGAGGAGGGTACTGCCTACCTTTTTGGTCTTCACCGTGGACGTGCAGCAGTCCCCACCGTCGTAGTTGCAGAAGGCTCTGTTGTTAATGGCATCACAGTAATTGTCTCCCATGAAGGGCTATAGGAGGAGAGAGGCAGGAAGGAAAGGTGCCTTGTTAGCATCCTAAAGCAAAGGTGGGGGTGGCAGGCACAGGTCTGTAATCATTTAGCCGTCTCTCATCTTCTCCCAAACCGCTTCCTGGCTTCAGATCCTAACACCCCCTTGGACAAGTCAACACTTCTACATGTATAAAGAGTCTTATGTAGCCAAGTTTTTCCCAATTAAAGTATGGTTGCCCTGGGAGACACACTCCTGTATGTCTTACATCTTCCTAAAAAAGGGGGCTCATTTTACTTGAAGAAATGATAAACCAAGTTGAGTCCCCCTGCCCCACTTTTACTGGTAGGAGGTAATTTAAAAACAATTTATAATAAAATATATGCAAATATATTAGGAAACTGAGTGTGAACTGCCCAAAGAACCACTCTCTAACTGGCCAATCTCAACATGGAGAGGGGCTATGGGAGAAAGGTCCATGAGACCTTTTGAGTAGAGTGGAAGGAGTTGGCCTAATCAGAGAGCTTCGTGAAAGTGTCCCTGAGGAAAGGACGTTTTGACTGAGATTGGGAGATGAGTGGGAGTTAATCAGATAGGAATGGAGAAGGGAGAATTTCCAGATAAAGGGGCATGTGCAAAGATCTGCTACTTAGAGCTTTCTCCTGTCTAGTATTTCTCATGCTGCTACTTCCAACAATGGAAGCAATTCATTCTTCAAGATCCAGCTCCAACATGATCCCTCTAAAATGCCTTCCCTGACACTCCCAAGACGTTCTGCCCTCCTGCGGTTTCCTGTCTGCTTCCTTTACTATTCTGTGAGTTCCTTATGGACGGGAGTGTGTGTCATCCATTGGTCTTGCCCCTACTTCCCAGCAAAATGCCTGGAAATTTGAGCAAAATTTTGTATGTGTTCCTTGAGTGTTCATTTAGTAAAACGGTGGACAATGGAGGCACACACATGGCTGAATGGATGCATGGATAGATGGAGGGCAAAAAGACTCCACAGGTGAACCAGGGAGCACAGTGACTGTTCTCACTTGGCTGAGATCATTTTATTCTCAGAACCAAGAGTTGTGTCAGGCACATAATATGCACTCAGTGAGGCTGTGATGACTGAGCGAGTGAATGACCACTTTGGACACAGCTTGGGGTAGAGGGCTGGGGGCACAGTGTCTCAAACCCTTTCTGGATCTTGGCTACCTCTACACCCTCCAGGTGGATGCCCCCTCCCTAGACCCAGCCTTTGTATCTCTTCTAAGTATCCTTTTCTGCCCCTGACAAGAGGCCAGCTATTGGCGCTAAGCTCAGGAAGAAAGGAGATGAGGGGCACCTGCAAGGGCAAGGGCGATAAGCATCACTGGCAGGGCTCAGAGCCTGACAGGTGAGGGTCTTGCAGGTCCCGATGCTGAGTCAAAGGAAGGATCGAATTCTGCTGTCACACTGGTGGCCCAGACCGCCGACTCAGCAGGACGGCTGCCCAGGTAACCCAAGCTCCCTTTGCCCGAAATGCTGGACTGATCCAGGGAGATGGGAAGAAGCAACAACCACATGGCCATGGCCTTGGTGTTGCTGTCCCGTGCTGACTCTTGGGAGAATGGGGTTCTTAAAGGCCCCAGTGCCACAGGAGAAGATGCCACAGGAGGTCCCTAGCCAATACATAGACAAAAATGTGTGACCCAGGGACTGTCTTGTGACACAGGGCAGGGGATGGTTCAAGAGTAGGAGGTGACCTACTGGGAAAGAAAGAGCACCCGAATGGAAGCCAGGAGCCCTGGGCTCTGTGTCTGTTATGCTGTGCCACCTTTGGCCAGTCCACCCTCTCTCCGGCCACAATGTCCAGTTTATACAACAAAAGAACAGGATGAGATACACTTCCAGTTGGGGCATTCTATCACAATTTAGCCCAACCACCCGCCGTCTAGATCACCGTTCCCCATCTTTAGATTAAAAGGTCAGGTTTAGGTCACCTAGAAGAGCATTTCTGGTTCTGACATTCTAAGAATTTCATCGAATACAACTTTTCCTAGAGCACAGTCCAGTCCTTTCCAGCTGCCTTTTCCTGAGTGGGCTCTGGGGGACCACGGAGATTTGGACATCCACCTGGATGGGATTCGGGGTCTCTTCACCACCAGCTGAGCAGAACCATGGGGCATGGGGCACACAGACGCGTCTTCTAGTTTTACGAAAAGCCCCTCTTGAGAACACAGGTGACATCCGCAGTACTCTGCCCTCCCCAAGCTTGTCCCTGATACATAGAGACAGAGCTCCTTGGTGCCAAGTCCCAGGGCATGGCTGTGACTGAATTGAAAGGTCAGAGAGCATCCTGGTTCTGTTATCCATTAACCATATTTCAGCTCAGTGGCTGGGTTCTAAGGGGTTGAAGAGCAAGTGAGTGACATGCATATGGCAGAAGGACGTGACCTGTAAGATGCTCACCATAAAGTAGGAATGGAAAACACCTGCCTCACATGGTTCTGTGAAGGTTAAATGTGAATATGCTGGTAAAACCCCGGCATATTACAGATGCCAAATCAATACGACCTCCCTGCCACTGTCACTCAGAAACGCACTATTATGCTGAATGCAGGGTTAGGAGGCAGAACAACCTGGATCGGAATCCTGGTTGTTACCCAGTAAACATATTTTTGAGTATGTTTGTTGGTATCTCTGTGCCTCAATTCCACCAGCTATAGAATAGGATTGCTGATTTCTGGCCAGGAGGCCAGTTAAAGGGATATTTACCACATTTAGCAGGTACAGTAAATGGTAGCCATGATTAACACAACGATAACATTAGTAACAGTAGGGTCATTTCCGGGGACTCACCTCACAGCCTTTGACACAGTGGATCACAGCAGGGTGAGGGTACCACTTGAGGCCAGCCGTGCAGACGACTCTCTGTAGAGACAGAGACGGGTCAGATGGGTTTGGTTCTGGGAGGGAGCATGTCTTTGCTGGCACCACATTCTACCACCCCACCTCTTTCTGGATCTTCCAAGTTCTGACATCCCCTTAGGAATTACATGGAGAAACTGCCCAGGTACTCGCAATAGCAGGAGCCATGAGATTAAAGTAACTCTTGTGTTCGCTGTAGGTGTCCTGAGCCTATATTTCCCTGGCAGGAATAGGGCTGACAAGAAGCAGAACTGAAGGATGGAGACAAGATCGGAAAGGCCTTTCAGAAAATTTGTGGCTCATCTTTGACCCATGGACAGAGTTGGGGGTAAGGTGGGAGGAAGGAGGAAGCGTAGAAAAAGAGGAGGAAGAAGGTAAGGAGGGAGGGAGGGAAAGTGGTGTGTGTGTACAAGTGTGTGCATGTCCGTGTGTGTGCATATAACTATATGTGTGTATATGTGGGGAATGGTGTGGAGCAGGGAGAATGCGGACACTGAGGACCACTGCCCAGGGCCACTCTGGGAACTCTTTAAAAAGGCACATACTTTGGGTCTGCCTTGCATCTAATAAATCCAAACCTCTGAGGTTCAGGGCTTCGGACTGTCCATTTTAAAAACCAGCCTCCCGGTGAATCTGGTCCACAATGCTGTGTGAGAGCCGGAGGATGAATGAACTAACCTTGGATTCGGAACCCGTGGAGACAGAGAACCCTTTGGGCTTCCACTGGCTGCCCTGCCACATGGGCCTGCTCACACTTGCCTGAGGTGGCCCACCTTCCCTTCTTTATCCCTGCGACTTTGTTCCTGCTGCTTTCCTTCCCCAAACAGCTTGTCCTCATCTTTTCACTTGGAGAATCTTTCGTTATCTCTGAACTTTCTGCTATAGACTCCCTGCCTCTGTGCTGCTCTCCCCTCCCCCACCCTCAGGCAGAGCTGACAGGTATGCATATGTGTATTTATTTATAGCCTCCTTTAATAACAATTGCTGTTATGATAATGACAACTAAAATGCATGGAGTGCATTCACGGTACTAACTGCTTTATGTATGATCTTATTTCTTTCTTGCCAGGCAGTGAGGTGGGCATTACTCTCAGGTCATAAGGACAATAATTCCCTAGGCTCCATAGCGGTGACGTGGAGAAACCAGGATTTGAAACCTAGCAGTTGCTTTGGAAATAATTTAAGGCAGCTGATAGCATAACATCCAACATGAGGATGATTTTTAAGTAGGTGAAAAAAGAAAGATAAAACTAGGGAAATAAAATAGCATCAGGAATGGGGCTAATGTAACCATCCTAGAAGCTCCCTTCTCTAGTCTATAATAAATGACTGTTTTCCATTTCAGATTAACAATGATTTCTTTTAAAAAGTAAAAAATGAGATAAAAATGACCTGGAGGCAAATGCTTAGATTTGTAGTGAGAAGTAACTGTTTCAGGAGCCAGCCACGGAAGTCTATATGATTGGTGCTTGCTCTCCTGGCTGAGAGCCAGTTGATAAACTTTAATTAAGAAATAGCCCAGTCAGTGGGGATCAGTGGTTGAGGGTTGACCTATTCATGGTTGAATTCCAGGTCAGGGCACATGCTGAGGTTGTGGACTTAATCCCCAGTAGTGGGTGTGCAGCAGGCAACTGATCAATGATTCTTATTGATATTTCTCTCTCCTTCTCCCTCTGAAATCAATAAAAATGTATTTTAAAAAAGAAACAGTCACATGGTCAGAATGTGGAAAAGCCATGTGACTGGCTCATTCTCTCCCTGAGGGCAGACCTATCTGGAACCCAAATAGTAATTAGGTTTCTTGGTGAGCTTGGAACTGAGGTCACATGACTCCGAGATCTGGCTGAGACTGGGATGGGCGCCTTTCTCCTCTACCACACTGCATCTCTGGTTCACCTTGGATCTCTCAGGCCTAGGATGGTGCCTGGCACATGGAGGAAGCCTAGGAAGTATTTATGTTATAAATGAATGAACGGATCCATCTCAGGATAGAGATGATTTTGTTGATGGACTGCATTTTCTCATCTTCCCCCTTCTCCTAGACCCATGGTCGGCAAACTACGGCTTGCAAGCCACATGCGGCTCTTTGGCCCCTGAGTGTGGCTCTTCCACAAAATACCACGTGCGGGCACGCATGTATAGTGCGATTGAAACTTTGTAGCCCGTGCGCAGAAGTTGGTATTTTGTGGAAGAGCCAGTATTTTGTGGAAGAGCCACACTCAAGGGGCCACAGAGCTGCATGTGGCTCGCGAGCCACAGTTTGCCAACCACTGTCCTAGACCTAGAGCCGTGGTAGGCAAACTGCGGCTTGCGAGCCACATGTGGCTCTTTGGCCCCTTGAGTATGGCTCTTTCTAAACCTTAGGAGTACCCTAATTAAGTTAATAACAATGTATCTACCTATATAGTTTAAGTTTAAAAAATTTGGCTCTCAAAAGAAAATTCAATCGTACTGTTGATATTTGGCTCTGTTGACTAATGAGTTTGCCGACCACTGACCTAGAGCATCAGGACATTTACTATGCCTACCAAAGTGTCTAGTTTAGAGAACCAGTTTAGTGTAGAATGAATTAAAGATCTTGGACAAACAGCCTACTTTGAAAATCTGCCAGCAGTCTTGAAATGTGAAATCTTTCTGGCTCCCTACTGCCTCTATTGATGAGTCTGCCTTCTCCCAATAGATACATGCAAAGCAATATATGGGAAGGACCTTGGGTGCTGAGGTATGACAGGCATGGTTACAATTCTGACTTAAAATTGCTCTGTAAATTTCCTCTCGGAGACTTGGTTCTCCCATCTGTTAAATGGGCACTGAAAGTGTCAGAGGCTTGTTGTGATGACACACTGAGATAAATAATATGGAAATGGTTAACCTAGGACTGGTTACTTAAGGTTCTTAAGGGCAGAGCCTGGGTTTGAGACCTCTCTATGTCTCTCCCCAGGACAAGGCATGGAGCACAGCAAACACATACATGTTGACCAAGTGAAGGAATGTGAGAGCCCCCCATGTTCCTCCCATCCAGCTCAGCTACTTTCGTGCCCCCCGATTCCCAGCCATGGGGCTAGAAGTAGAGAGGGACTGGTTACTTAAGGTTCTTAAGGGCAGAGCCTGGGTTTGAGACCTCTCTATGTCTCTCCCCAGGACAAGGCATGGAGCACAGCAAACACATACATGTTGACCAAGTGAAGGAATGTGAGAGCCCCCCATGTTCCTCCCATCCAGCTCAGCTACTTTCGTGCCCCCCGATTCCCAGCCTTGGGGCTAGAAGTAGAGAGAATCACCTGCTTTCATTCTCTGAGAAACTTTAACCAGACTTTCATTTCTAGGCTGGAGAGTCTGTTCCCAGCTAAAATACAGGATGTTCGAGGGGCACTTGGTAATGGTTGAAGTAGTAGAAACAGCAGGGTTAGGATCCACTAGGGATTTGATGCCCATCCCTCCCTTGCTTATTTGGGAGCTAATTTAATCCGTCCGTAGGAGTGTCTTGGTGTGGTTGTACATGTTTCTGTCAGTTGAGGTTTACCTGACGTGAGTTCAGAAAAAGGACTTTTATACCATCTGCATGATCCTATTTATCTTTCCAAGGTGTTCGGAGTTTCCACTATTCCTCAGAGCTGCATGCCCCACCTGTCTCACTACAGGGCCCCTCTGTATGCGAGGAGAGCTGGGAAAGGGGACAAGCAGCAGGAGATGAAGGAAAGGCTGGGCTGTTTACATCACAAGTTGTGAGATCCCAGGGGGGCGCCTCAAATGTCAGCTTTGCTCCCCTTGATGCCAGTGAGACCGCTAGTCCCATCAGAGTCCTTTCAGACCAGGTTTTGTAAGGCAGCTTTCATTTCCTGCCTTGGTACATAGGAAGAATATACTGCCTTCCTAGCTGCAATGACCACCAGCATCAGTGCCACCACCACCATCATCACTGTCAACAACACCAGCACTATCATCATCTCCACCACCACCACCACCATCATCACCACCATCAACCCTACCATCATCACCTCTACCCTCACCTCCACCCTCACTACCACCCCCAACCCCAACATCATCACCTCTACCCTCACCACCACCACCATCACCACCAACCCTATCATCACCTCCACCCTCACTACCACCACCGTAATCATCAACCCCACTATCATCACCTCCATCCTCACCACCACCACTATCACCACCACCACCAACCCTATCATCACCACCACCCTCACTACCACCTCCACCATCAACACCACCAACCATAATATCATCATCTCCACCCTCACCAACACCATCAATACCACCACTAGCATTATCACCATCACCTTCACCAGCACCACCACCACCACTGTCACCACCAATAACACCAGAACTACTGCTGTCACACTACCACCACCACTGCTATCATCTTCATCATTGCCAAACCCACCATCATTATCCAGATCCTTATCAACACAAAGTCCTCTATTACATAAATATTGTGGTCCAAGACCTATGCTCTGAACTTTCATCTATTTAATTCTTATCATAACTATAAGATAGGTACTAATTTTGAATCTGGTTTACACAAGAGGAAACTGAAGCATGGAGAAGTTAAGCAAGTTGCCCCAAATCACACATAGATTGTGGCAGTCAGGAATTAAACCCACATCTCTCTGATTCCAGGTCTAGACTTTGAATACCACACTCTCCTTCAGATTCCCCGAACCCCCAAAGCTGCAAACATAAAGTGGCTTACTCTTTTGAGTAAGACCAAGGTTCAAAAAAGTGGAGAGGCTTTGAAACAAACATGGGAGCGGGCACAGTGTCTAAAAGATGCGCCCCAGGTGGAACCAGACATGTAAGAAAATACACTGAGCCTCCTCATTCTGAGCTCAGATCCCACACCCTCCTGATAAGATATGCTGTCTTTTCTCCTGGACTTTTCCTTGGTTTATGAGACCTTCTGTGAGTGAACTGTATCATTTAACTTTAGAAAAAAATGAAAAACTGTATATTTTCCTTTTGTTATCAAGTGGGTAAGGTTTTTG